ATTCCGTAACAAAATCATTTATTTAAAAAAAAGAACTACCAAAAGACTTAATGTCCGCAATTTACTTCAACCTATTTCGTAAAACACTTGGAAACAACAATACTAAATGAAAAGCAAGAGCAAATTGACAAGTGAAAAAAGTAGAACTAACAACTCAAAACATGATATTGATATTAGACAAACACCAAATCAAATAAAATATCAATATGGAAAAAATTGCTAGTATAGTAATACAAACATGAATACCACCGAAAGTAATGAGTGAAAAAAAATATGCACATGTATAATTATGAAAAACATATGATGAGAGAAAAAAGTTTTCTTACTTTTGAGATAACTGTTTTTATGAATTTTTAAGTATAATATTGTGAACAATTAATTTGCGTACTTATCAAATATAATTCATAAAAAGTAAAATTTTTCATCATAACTTATTTTAAATATATATGGAATAAATTGTATAAGATATTCATGTGTGAAAATTGTCATTAAACTCATGTAAGCAAAGTCTCAAAACCTTATATTTGTGAGAAATGACATGCAAAAAATCATTGGTTAATTATTCTCCAAATTATGAAAGTCAAACCCATTGTTACTAGGGCCTTTTAAATTAAAAAGCTCATATTTCATTTTTTCATGTATAATTTTTCCTTCCCCTATTTGTAAGCATAAATAATTTTTCTATTTTCTATGCAGATTCATCTCCATTAAACAAACTTAATGACCCCCTATAACAAACTTTAGGTCGATAATTCCAAAGTCAGGTAACTGTAGGGTACCAGGTTTTAAGATACTCTTCAAACTTAATTGCTCGAGTCAAAAAAGGTACGAAGACAAGTATAAAATGTAGCTTACTTTTTCATATATATATATATTATTTTTATTTTTTTTTTGAAGCTCAAAAATATTTTTTTTTCTTTTAAAGGGAATATACTATAGTTTAGGTCATCTAGTTAAAGGTCATTCCCATTCAAAGTCAACTCACCATACAAGTGACCGACATCCCAATTCTTATACACGCAGTCAAAACTCACTCAAAGTGCTTTATATGTACAGTGCAAATGATACATGCAATAACCTATATCAAGTACTCCAAATAAATTCTAAATAAAGTTAATGAAAACTTTATTCACTATTAATAAATTTTATTAGTACTTGATCACAAAATAACATATTCAATAATATTAACATTAAAAATCATTTTTCCCTTTTGCAATTGTTTTCTCAAAAAAGTTTTATTTATCAAAATAATAAATAAAATGCAAAACAAACAAAACAAGGAAAAAGATTAGAGTGCATGCATGAATATGTAGATACCATGAAATGATGCAGATTCATGCACCTAAATTCCTACTCAATAAGGTATAGTAACGCTCTTACCATGAAGAGTAATATGTGCAATACCGCAACTAATATAGTTCACTTTTCTTAAGACAAACCTTCTTAGATAAAGATGTCATCTTAATCAATTGAGTCATTAAACCAGTCAAGTGACTCATTTGATTAGTCAAAAATCTAATATGAATAATTAGATATTATTTGTTGTTCATAATCAAGGGTTTACAGCATCTAGGTCTAATGTGACCCAATTCACAACAATTGTGGCCTTGGGAACAAATTTAGGAGCAAATCTAGGTTTCAAATTTTGAACCTTGAGTGCGGAAAACCTATGATATATATGATTTCGGTCATCGGACACCTACATTCTTGGTCTTGTTCCTACTTAAGAGCTCGCGACACTTTGGTCTTATGTGTTCTAACTTACCACAATGGTGACATGTAGGGATGAACCCACGAGCAACTCTAGGTTTCAAGTTTTGAATCTTAGACTTTGAGGCAAGTACAAACTTATTGTTAAAATAGGAACTGGTTTGAGAATTTGTTTCCTTAAAGCTTAAATTTCCTCTATTCCCATCTATTTTAACCTATCATGTTATCAATCTTCTTAGATTCGCTAGAGACTGATTGAAGTTGGACATTTGATTTTTCAAGATCATTTATAAGCGTTTTAATTTTAATTTCTAAGGACTCTTTCTCAACCCTTAATTCATTCAATCCTTTTGTAGACTCCTCGAGTTTCACCACAAGGCTCTCCTTTTCTAACTCTAGTTTATATAGTTTCTTAAAGGCGGAGCTATTCACAATTTTCATCTTAAGACACTCCTTATACAGCTGGTTAAGCCTCTTGTAAACCCCAATCATCCTTGGATCCATTATCTAAATGTAATTGACTCATCTACACAAAATTGGGTCAAGGGTCGCATTTAAGCTCTAATACCAATGGAAAAATTCCAATGTATGTATTGTGGCAATACTACTTGTTGGAAATTATCGTTATTTAAACTCAAAATGCGAAATTAAGCAATTTAAATTTGAATAAGTAATACAGCAAATGATAGTAGCAGTACCTAGTTTTATAATCAAATCCCATGTGGACCTTAAGCTTCCATTTTCAGTTACCTTGCAATTGAAAGTTACACCTTCAGAAATTGTTACTAGATTTCGATAAATTGCGTTCTTAGACAGAATAGAGATTCGGTTTGTCAAGTCTATACAGCTTAGATAGCTCTGTCAACATCACGGATTTAAGTTTACCAGAGTTTCTCATAAAAAAAGATGAAAATCTATTATTCTTGTGATCATTTTTGTTCTAATTTAGTAGAAATATTTATTCGAACTTTTCTGAAGAAAATATCTTGTTACTTTATGCGCATGAACCATTGTTATCTTCATCCGAGGAGTTCGATGCCAACACAGTTCAAGCTCTGATATTGCAAAGTGACATTTGTATTTATCTTTCATTCCACTATTGACAATCCACTCACTTTTTTAAGTTTACTGCACACAATTTTCCGGTAGCATCTGATAATGCTTCTCAACTTTGATCAGCTATTATTATGTAATAAAATTGTACTTTCATGAAGAAATAAAGTCTACAGGAATTGAAAAAGAAAGATTTTAGAACTTTTATTTCGTGTCTTCTTCTCAATGTGACCGGTTCTATGGCTGTTTAAATTTGATATGTGCTGCTTTAAATTGAGTTGATCTTGACAAGAGTTTTCCATACAAGTTGATCTTGAAATGGAGCATACTTGCATAAATAATTTTGTTCAGGACTGCTTGCATTTGAGAGATTGCTCACGAGCATGTAAGTAAGTTCATCGGTCCACACAGTTATCCTGTGGAAGATTCAGTAGCTTCCGCAGCCCTTGAAAGCTACAATTTTGAAGTGCTGTATTTTTATTTTTATTATTTGCAGTGCCTAGGGTTTTCAATAATTTTTTGAAAATTTATGAATATTAATCATGAAAAAATAATGAAGAAACATCTTAAATAATTGTTTAAGCCACAAGTAGCCAAATTTTGATCCAATCTTACGAAAAAAATTCTAGTAGACAGTGTTAAATTTCGACATTTATGTTGAAGAAACGAAGTGATAAGCAATTGATTTCAATAGGAATCATCTTTGTCAATTGTGTAGAATTGAACAATAATATTGTGCTTCTGATTATTAAAGAGCTATTGAGAAATTGGGTTGACCACTATCAAGGGAAATGAGAATAAAACCAACAACAAATATTCGTTAAAATTATAATGTAACGTGACGAAATGAGTCAAGATCTATACGGACATTTCAAAGTACGATGTAGCACACTACTCATTCCTTAAAAGTAAAAGAACATCTCCAATAAATTATATGGATTTTCACCTAGGTGATGTGTAAATTGAATGAGTGATATTGAAGTTTAATGAATATATAGTCTAAGAGTATCCCCGAGTATCTTCAAGAGACTCTCTAAATACAAAATGCTCTTTGTTTCAAAAAGTTGATGCTTAAAAATAAGCTCAAAAAGACTCTATTTTAACTTTATAAAATAAAAATTGAGTTTAATCATTCAAATTCAGATAATCAAACTCACTTTTTATTCTTAATATACAATGATTGCATTTAATAAATCGCAGATTTCAATACTCTAATTCTTACACTATTCAAAATATGAAGAGAAATTAATAAATGCTTCTTAAGAAAATATAAAGCGCCAAAATAAAGAGCACGGTTAAAGTGCATAAAAACTCAATTTAAAGATGCTCTCTGTAATGTATAAAACATTCTTTATAAATAAACGATCTTTTAGAGATGCTCTAAGTCAAAAGTTGCTTTCGAGTTTATTCTATCTAAACATTCATTGTACATTATTAATTTTTTATTAATTATTTTTCTTTTGAAATTCCCTTAGTAGTTAAGAGAAAATTTTAATTTTAACATATTTATTTATTGCAGAATATGAATTTTAAGAGCTATTATATGCACGGAAATGAAAGATGCTTTACAATTATATAATGAATAATGTTTCATGTACATTCCTTGTTATGTAGATGAAATCTAACCAGTGAGTTGATAAGTGTGTTTAAAATTAAAGGCCATGATTGTTACCACCTCATGTAATGTCAAATTTGATGTCAAAAAAAAATGTACATGTAACAGGATTGTTATATAATTCACAAGCAACGAGCATATGATTTCATAATTTAACTATTCCGAAGCTAAAAGATTGTGAAACCCCACATGAACGTGCGCACATGCTAAAATACTCAAGTTGTGACTACGAATAGAAACTAGGCTCCATGTTCTATAGCCTTCATAGACAGCTTGAAGCACAGCCAAAATGACTTTAGTGCTTCAATTAAATCATTGAAATTCCCCTATTTTTATTATTACAAGGAATTATGGTCGAAAACAATCAGCCATCGAAATCTTTTACTCAAATTACAGAGAAATAATGGTAAAAATCTACAAGGCGAAGAAATCGAGATAAAATAAACCACACAACTGGCGTAACATAATATTGAAAAGGAAGACGAAAAGCATTTATGGTGTTTCAAATAAACCAGTACCTTATATGATGAAATCCTCTAGACTTGAAGCATCTGTACCCTATCAAATTGCATCTCATGCAACATAATATGCATAACACGAGCACAAGGACGAAAGTGACATTTTACCCCTTAAACCGGACAACAACAATGGAAATATCGTCTTTACTTTCCCGATTCAAAGCTTCAGTTGAGAGTTGCTTGGCTGCCTTCTGTGGATCTTTGATCGTCCTTACAGAATCGACTGCCTCTTGATTGGACATTACCTGGACGTGGGTCCCCAAGAAATGGAAGAGAGGAAAAAGAAAAGTCGGGTTGTTAACAAAAAAAAAAATGGAAGTCAAAATGAAATGGAAAGTAAGACTGGAAGATGGTCGTTTCACCTTCCACAAACCGTCGCTAGCAAGGATCAGGAGATCAGTATCCGCATCAATATCAGCATTGGTAATATCAGGATCAGACCGCAAGTGAGATTTAAGGTTCTTGTCTCCAAAAGCACGAGAAACAGCCAATTGTCCATTTACTCGTGCAACGTCTCCTGGTAAAAAATGCGTTGGGATAGGTTTTATGACTAAAATACAGTAAAACCATTCAAAACTAGGCTATACTTGAGTAAAAAAGATATGCTTTGTATCAAAATAACGACATTGATTTTCAAAAAGTGAAGTTAAGTGAGAATTTGAATTAAAATAAGAGTAATGCTATTCATCCCTACTGAGGTTACAAATACAGTCTAGGTGGCTCTAAATGATAGGTTAAATGAAAGGTGAAACAGAGTAATCACACAAGATGACTAGTCCCTACAGAAGACCTTGTAATGAACAATCACTGTTGTATTTGAATAAAATGCCAAAGAAAAGTTTTGCAAGACAAAGCTGCTGTCAAGATTTTACATTCATGATTTACTATGAGAAACTAGTAGGATTCGCCAAAAAAATTATGGAAATACAAGGTAAGACTTAATGCAATTTACCAGAACTTTAGCGCACTTGCTTTATTTATTATATACTAACTAGAGCAATTGTATTTATTTTCTACTTTCTACTTGGCTACTTTTAAAAAAACTTTCCATAGTGACCATACGCATTCCAGTCATAATTTTACAAGCACTATCACAATAAGATATAAAATTGCTTCATGTTGAGTTGTTGATGATACATTTTGGACTGCAAACCCTCTGCCACTGAATTCCAGTGTACAATTTATATTCGCACCAGAAAGGCTGATGAATAATTAATGGAATATATGTTGAGCATGCTCTTGTGCATTTGCTCGTGCATCCTCTCTATCCTTAGTGATGTAGCATTAACTATCTTGATCTACTATTACCTAGCCCCACCCCCCCACCCCCTCCCCCACCATAGTCATGGTGGTATGTTGTACATATCCAAGACTTGCATAAGTCCACATAAAATGAGGAACTACATGCAGAGCTTTTGGCACGATCATCAGGGAATTTCACTTGCTCAAAAGCCACTATGATTAACCTATTGTCCCACTCCCCAACCAACACCTATAATCTCCAACTTGAGCTCAAGTTGATAGCTTCAATATTAGAACATAGGTATTTCTAGTCATGCAGGTGGAACTTAAACAGAACACTTTTCTGAATTATTTACTGTACTTCAATCTCAGATTATATCCTGAGCCCTCGAATTTTGAACACCACGAAATAAAGAGGCATATATACTTGCCCCGAATGAAATTATAAGCAGAATGTGTTGTCATCTGAAGACTGACTGCTAAAAGTGTGCATGGGTTCCACTTACACTATTTACTCCATCTATTTCAGCTACATACATGAAGAGTTAAGGATGGTGGCCACGAGATTTGAAGGTAAAGTACCCATTTGGACACAATGCTAAGGTTAGGAAACCCGCTGCAATTTTCCCTTATTTTATTTTTTACTTATTTTAACTCGAAGTAGGGGTATAATAGTCTTTTAAACAAAAAATTAACTTCTTAACTGTCAAATGACAGAACCTGTCTAGTAAGAATCATCGACACTACAAAAGTAATACATTGGGGATGACACTGACGGAGAAGTTGTAACAAGGTCCATCAGTTGGGAATTAATGGTATTGGTGCAATTTTCCCAAAGCATTTCATTGGAGTCATAAGAACATTGCCATAAATCAGAAATATGTAGTCTTGCATCAACGATGATTATAGATGACAGATACAGGCTAGTTATAACAAGTAAAACACGGCTACTTAAAATTAAACGTATAAATACCTGGCATGTTAGAGACAAATCCACCTCGGTTTTCAATGCTTCCTCGCTCGGTGTTCGGCTCATGATCAATGGTCAACTGTACAGCCTGCCCCTTCCTGGAAAGGACTGCCCGTGAATCTCCAACATTAGCTACCCATAGATGTCGACAATTTATGAGAATTGCCGTAACAGCAGTGGACCCACCTCGTCCCAAGTCAGGATTGTGTGACAGAATTGCCTCGTCAGTTTTTTCATAGGCTTTAGCAATAGACCTATTTGGATCCGTCCAAAAGTCCTCCTGGAGTATAAAAAGGCGGGAAGAGTAAACCAATCGATGCCTAAAATATAGCTCTCTAAGGACACATCACTATCTTTAAGTTGATAAAGTAGAGAGAGAGTAAGAGACCATATTGCAGTGAGTGAAATTTGTGAACTCATATGTTAGCACATCAGAGTTGACAGGATGCAGGTGGTAAGCATAAAATAGGTATGAGATTTAAAAAATTAAAATGATTAATTCCCACTAGGAGCATGTTTGGCTAAGCTTCTATATAGGAACTTTTTATTTCCCTTTGGTGATAGTTCAGAGTGAGAATTTAGATGCCCTCGGCTACCCTTTGGTGGTGATAACTGATAAGTGACACAAGAAACAAAAGAAAAACATAAGGTTGATTGAGGAAAGATGCCAAAGATGAATGGGTGACTAAATTCGACTCTGGTTATCAAGAAGTCATCTTAATGCGAGATGACACCAATAATACAGGGCGAGTCTGAACCTTCAAAAACGGATACAACCATCAAGCATATGTTTTGGGTCCTACAAACACAAGGTTAATACTATTATTTACTAAAAAATAACAAAGGTGCCTCAGAATATTTTTCCAGTTGTGATATATATCTATTCTTGAAGCTCCACTCAAATCCATTTCTTATTGTCAAAATTATGTATAGAATTTTCAGCTCATTCTTATACTCTCTCCACACCACAACAAATTCCTACTCTGTCATTTCGGGGATATCCCACTTTAAACGTCACCTACCTGTTTAAAGGAAAAATCAAAAAGCCTCTATTTGAGCCTCATTCTTTAAAACTCATTTCAACTACACATTCTCTCAATAAAATAATTTTGTGTATAAACCCAAGATTTTTACCTACTTTTTAACCAAATTCTCAAAAAATATCACTTTTTCACAAAACCTATTCTAAAAAAATAGAGCTCAAACGGGGGCAAAAGTATTAATCTTATCCAAACTACCATAAAATTCAAACGACAATCTCAAATAATCATTTAAACAATTTTAACCCAAAAGAACTGACGAGAAACTTTAAAAAAGGTCCTAACAGTTAAATTCAGGAAATAATACCATCTATACATTCATTACCTTAAACCTTGCTCGTCTCAATATATTATATCATCGTAATCAATCCCATGCTAATTCATTTAAAGAGAAACAAACCTCCTTCAAGATATTGGAAAACAGATGCTTCTGTAAGTAAGCCGGAACAGTATCTCCCAAATGCCCATCATAGATAGCAAATAGTCCTAGCTCGCGACCATGAAACTGTACAAACTTAGCAACATGGAAATCCTCCATAGGATGACTTGCTTTTCCTTTTACTAAACTGAATCCATACTTTACAGGCCCCTGATGGCTTCTTCCCTTGCCGGAGCCACTCGAAGAACGTCCTCCTGCAAGCTAGAGAAAAAGAGGAACACGAATTTTTAAACATTGGAAAAACAAAAAGATGCACTCAATACCCAACAAACAATGTTAAAGATGGAAAATTACAATATGCATGTACCAAAAGAAGTGATCGATTTTTCAAATTCCTTACTCGTTTTGATGATGACACACATAACTAACAATTGGTAGAAACCAGTTATTCAAAGCATTAAACTACAATGAAATGAAACGATTTTCCTGTGAAATAATAATCCCACGGTTCTAGCATCAAAAAGATCATAAACCCTCAACTATTTAGACAAACCCGGGGAAATGAAATACTCAACCATACCTCATAATTCATCAAAAACACAAACAAAATTTTGAAAAATCAGACAGACCCCATTTTGATAAACCCCTTTTGAATTAAATCAGAATATATACAAATACCATCTCAAAATTCATGGGATCATCAGCCTTCTGATGACCTAATTAAGACACTCAAAAAGTGATACAGAAGCAGAAAATTAATGAAAACCCCCCAAAAAAATAACAGCAAGCAAATCCTCACCCGAAAACAGCAGAAATTAGCCATATAATTCTGATGTTCCACGTCTCCAGTTCAACATCTACTACCAACTTTCCAAAATTGAAAATCCAAAACCTGTAAAATCAAAAAACAGTAATCTTGATCATCACAAACCACAAACCCACCAAGAAAAACATTATCAAAATTTAATTCTTCAAAGAACCAATATTTTCACCAAAAATCTCAACTTGGGTATCCCAGAATTTCCACTTACCGATCCACCAGTCTTCAGATCAAGAATTGACTATCTAGCCGACTTAGTTTCTAAACAAACAGTATAGGTCTATACAAGCAAAAACTGTATATAAAGATCAAAATAAAATCAAGAAATGATAGCAGGAATTATGGCTTTGTTGGGGAAGAGGATAAATAATAAATACGCAGGCAAGAATGGCTGCCAAAAAGCCGAGCTTCCCCTTGTTGACTTTGTTTCTTTTATTATTGTTTGTAGCATATGTCATGTATGTATGTAATGATACAGCCAGTCAGAAGCACTGTTTGTTTGATTTTGTTAATTACAGCTGTTTCTTTTCTTGCTTTAAGGTCCCAGGTTTCTTAAAAGTCGAAGAAAAGAGGCTTCTTAGTGGTCAAATGTGCTACTTTGGGAAGAGGGGGTCGGGTTACTGGGGGTGGGGTGATTTTGGGTCAGCCATTACAGAATTTATCAATCCCAAAAAAGGGCCTTTGATTTTCTTCTTTTCATTTCTTTTTCTCTTTCCCCAAATGCAAATATTATTCAACCCATTTTGAGGGAAAAAGAAAGAAAGAATTAGTTCTTTGAACCCATTGATGTATCAAAATCTTGCACCCATTCTTTTCCCAATCTTAAAAACAAAAAAGTGAACAATATTTCTGAACTCTTAAATTATAAGGAGTGTTTGATGCATATGATTAAAGGGTCGAAAAATTTATTAACAAACAAAAAAAATTCAAAAACTTTCAGTACAATTTAAGTTATTTTTAATAAAAATATGGAATTTAATTATTAAATATACTTAAATGTTATTTTTTTTTTTTAGCTAAATGTGACAAACAAACATGCGTTGTATTTAGTATATTAGTCTCAAAAGATAGAAAATAGGATCTAGTTATATTTTAAATTTTTTCACACTGTAATTGATTACATAGAAGAAAAGTATTACATAAGTCAAATCAGGAATGGACATACATAATCATGCTAATGGACAGATGACAAGCTTGTAGCACCCTGTCGCTTGACCATCAATATACTAAAAACTTAAGTCTGGTCATCTACATCTAGATAGACGATTGAGGGACACGATCGTCCCATAAACAATGGCCAAATAGGTCAAGTAGACTCCTTAGATCCCTTTAGGTTGGAGGTCAAAATAGATAAAGAGACTAAATGCAAACAATTTGATTGGGTGAAATCTCTTGTGTAACAAACAATATGCCTATTGAGAAAGCTTGTTAAATGTCATTATTATTGAATTTTAACAGTTGTCTTACAAATTTCTAACATGTTATAAAAAGTAATCAAGATTCTTTGATTAGTGACATTTCAAATAGATTTTCCAAAAAGCCAAATGATTTTCTTCTTCCTGGTCAAAATAGAAGTAGATGTAATAGTTTGATGAAGTCAATAATGCATCATTAAACTTGTAACTGTCCAACTTTGCTTTTTTAAGAATTAAAGAATTCAAATTTAAAAAATAATTATTTGAATGAAATGAAAGTTTGGTCAAACTTATTGCAGTTGCCATTTTGCAGTCATTTATTTTTAGCCTGTTTATTAAATGGATTGAATAATATTGAACATTATAATAATATTATAAAGAGGAAAAAGAAAATGTTAAAATTTTATTTATTATAATACTTAATTTTATTGAATATTGAATACCAAATATGCAATTGGTGAAACATACACGGATTATTCTACAATTTTTAGTGTAATATCGAACTTTTCCTTTTGCAATTTTTTAACCGAGGATTTTTGTTTTAATGTAATTTTGGAAAGTAAATTATTTTTTAACTTTTGGTTTTTAAAAAATCAATTAGTTACGTCGCTTCAATGATTACTAGCAATTATTTAATTTTTAACAAAAAGTTTATTTCGGTACTTCAGTAATTTTTTACTTTGGACTCATATTGACGAAGAGTTGATACCTTCCATGAACAATGAAACCAACTATCGAGGACGAGAAGAGGCTAAATATCAAATATTGAACTAGAATTAACGTAAAGGATAAAGTTTATAGTCACCCACAACAAGAGCCAATTACTCAACTATACCTCTAAATTTTCAATTTAAAAAAAAATTGAATGGTAACAATATTAGAAATTTTACACAATTTAGAATTATGCAGACTAACGATATACAGAAAGCGGAAACCAGGTGAAGTATATTATCTAGAAACCTTTCGATCGAATGTTGAACGGATGAATGACAAAGCAAGGTAAACAATTTTATCTCCTTCGAAAAGCAATAAGTTTATCCAAGAAAGCATTAATTATTATAGAATTCTAAAGAAAGAAAAAGACCGGACCTAAATGATGAAATTGCAATTAAAGAAAATTTCAAAGAACTCTTTGGTTAGTCATATTCCAACTAGATTTTCCTTAAAGGCAAAGTGATTTTCTTCTACTTTGTCAAAATATAAGGGTCCATTTAATTGTAAGAATGGAAAATTGGTGGTAAAAAAAGAATTTCAGATAAAATAATTGTCTAGAACTTATTTTTTTGGGAATTGTCAATTAATTGTGTTTGATTGATATAATTTTCCGCCTGAAAAATGTTGAAATTTTGGTGTTCGTTTGACTTTATTTCACATGGAAATTGTCCATTAAAGGGAAAAAAAATTTACAATTGAAGATAGAATTGGCTATCAAACAAAGCAAAAGTTGGAACTTGAAAAATAATTTTCAAGTTTTATGAAAAATAGTTAACATCAAACCGGGCCTAAGAGTTTTCAACTGAATGTTGGTTTTATACCATTATTAAGAGGCATGGAAAATTATTTATTTTTTTGATAAAATAGGATTATTATTAATTCTAAGTAGGTGTGGTGGTGGTGGTTTTAATGAAGTCAATACTGCAGCATTCTCAACTTGTATATCCACTAGCCAACTTTGCTTTTTTAGAATTGAAAAGTTCAGTCTTAAAATAATAATAAAATTATTATTATTATTATTTGGATGATTTAATGAGAAAGTTTGGTCAAACTTATTGCATCCATTCGTTTATGGTTATATTTGGTATAGTTCTTAGAAAGTTAAAGAAGAAAAATAAACTTGATTTTATTTATTAAAAATATTCAATTTATTATTCACGCGTGTCTATCTGAGACCAGAATTTCAGTGGAAGTTTGAATGATTGAGAAAAATGATGTTAAATCGGACATTAGTTACGTATTTTAGTATTGGATTTTTTCTTTTTTACAATTTTTAAAATTTGTCAAGAATTGTTTCAAAAATGACAGTAGAATTTTGTGAAGTAACTTTATGTTAAATTTGAGCTAATATCAATTGGTTGCTTTACTTCAATCATACTAACTACACTCTGAGATGATTTAATATAGAATTGATCACATGTCCTCAATGAGCAGGATAAAAACTTCCCACTGGTGATGTGACAAAAAGAATTGTAAATATGATTCTTTAAATGTATGACTGATGCAAAGAACCGTAAGTAATGTTCTCGTGACACGTCAATAGTGAGAAATTTTTATCCTGTCAATTTTGACTTTCTTCCCTTGGCACCCTCGGCTGATGTTCTTGTGAAAATAAGTTCTACTTGCATTATTACATACTCATTTTATCTTACTTGAAATCACTCTTGATAAATCATTCAAATTAAAACTTCATATAATGCAATATTGGGGAAATTTTGCCATCAACTACTGATCGTCAGGAGATTTCGAGTTCTCTGCAACTTTCACCTTTTTTCTTCTTTAACATTGTCAAATGTATGCACCATATTCAAGTGGAAGAATTTATACAAAGGTTAATCCATTTGTACATAATGGATTACCCCCTCACATAATGTGCGGGATCCACGTGTATCTAAAAATTCCTACAATGTGGTCCTCATCCTCTTTGTTAATAGTAGATAAAAAATTCGGTAAAAAAATTCGATATATATAGCATGATCCTTTATACAATCCGTCAAAAGAAAACAGTAATTCAATGTCAGAGAAGCCGTAATGGTAGGAAAAGCTAAATTATTGAGAAAAAAAATTGCACTACCAATTATTGTATTTGTATTAATGGTAATTACAACAACAATCCATACCTCAAAACTATAATGATTAATGTAGGAGCACAAGCATATAACAAGAAAACTTTCCCAATATGAAAATATGCAAGCTACAAAAACTGGCTAATTCAGAGAGTGAGGAACATAATCTATGAACATAGCAATCATTTGGCCACAGACCCACAAGTATAGACCACATCAATAGTAAAAATACCAGTAGTTGCTCTTCTTTTGGCAGTAAAATTCCTTGTTGAGTTGCTAAGAACATAGAAATTTCGACACGCTCTTTAGACCATGTACTGCATTCCGACTTGTATTAGGTTTGAGTGTGGAACGCTCAAATTTGCAATTTCCCTCCTGCAGTTTTTTCTTAAGAAAGCGTAGAAATAATTTATGACAAGCTTCTTAATAAACCATGAATCCTTCCTCGCCCGAATATCTCCATGACCAAGAAGATATACTACGCCACCTTCTTTAGCTTTGCGTATAAAATACAGTTCCTTATCAAGATTTTGCTCTGCATCAAGAAAAGATGGATCAGCAGAAGGCTCTGCCTTCACCTCTTCTGAAGTGCTTGCTTCTGATATGGACTTTCTCATGTCCTCAAACTCGGCCAAGAGAGGTACACCGAGCGAATAAACACTCCCATTGGGAGCTATTAGAACTCTCGAGAAAGAACTCTCTTCAGAATCTGTGTCTTCGTCACTGTCACTCTCCAGTGACTTTTCCTGAGCTTCCCTGCGAATGAACTTCTCAAGACTCTCAATCAGCAATTGCTCAAAGGTCTGGTGGTTTTCCTTTCGAACATCCTTGTAACCATATCTGTTCATGACAGTGTTGGACAAAACAATGAGTGCCTTCTCTTTCTAAAAAAGCCTCAAGATGGCCAAATGAAGATTCGTCTATTCTATCTAAACTGCATATCATACCACCAGATGGTTCTCAATGGATTCACAACAACAGGTCGGATACCACATATTTTGGAAATGCAGCTATATGCAAATATAACTTCAAGCCAATGCTACCATATCAATGCATAACATGTCAATGAAATTGAAGATTTGACAATATGATATAGATCAACATATTTGCAATGTTCAAGTTAATTACAAATTTGTTCATAACATTTTTCAATTGTGGATCAAGGCACAACCACCCACCATCATCTCATAATCTTTAGTTTTTAAAGCAAGACTTCACCAGGTAAAAAGTACAGAGTGGCTGCAACCAAATTGCACCTCATAAAAGAGAAAAACATCCTTGTGCCCTCTTATCTCTTCTAATTATGCACTAGTCGAAGAAAAGAACATCTCAAACTTTCATGACCAATCATATAAAATTATAAATAACTATGGATGAAATGAGTTTGAAATACCCATAGCATTCAGCAGACTAAATAAGATACAGCCAATAGTATTATCTTAATTCTGATGCAAAAATATTTTATCCCAAAAGAACTCCATTCACAATGCAATGGACAGGCAAATAGGAGGACCGTTTTAACCACCGCAACTTAATAAATCAGACATTACAGTAGCATGATATATTACCTGGCAACACAACGAAATATGTGGTAGCTTTTCGGACAGACTCGCCGGAATAGAAACCTTTCGCTTTGAAGCACAACAGGAACGGGAACATGTTTTATACACACAAATATGATCATAGAATGCACAGCAGGAAGAGTGGTAAGAAAATGTCCAAATATAGCTGGTACTCCCTTCGCAAGTTCATTGTAAAGCAGGCCAATGCCAGGAGCTCTGACTGTTCCCAAGTTAGGACCCAGCTTCCGCATCAGATCCATAGACATCTTTCGCTTAACCTCAGTTTCATACTTTATATTGTTTCCGTAGTTCCAGATGTACATTATTAAGAAAATCACTATGCCAAACACCAGTATGATCCAACTTCCGTCTCCCACACTTGATAAAACTGACGAAAAGAACGTCAACTCCAACCACAAAAAAATTATAACAAAACTCAGCACCGCGAAGATATTTAACTGCCATATAAGAAGCATTACAAGAGTTACTAAGATTGTAGTCATCATCATCACTCCAAGTTCAGCAATGCCTGCCAAAGAAAGTAAACATCAGACCACACAAAAGCCAGCCTAATATCCATTCAGAAAAAGAATTCCAGTCAATTAAATTTAAACTTACAAAGAAATAAAAAGCATCTGGCAGTATTTACATCAATTACCATTATATGATATCAATGGGGGTATTTTAAACATGTAATTCTTTTTTGGATCTTCCAGAAGCTCATTAGGAGATTGAATTCTCGCATAATATGCTTAAATTATTTGTCCAGCATTAAAAATTACGTGGGGAACTCAGGTTGTAGAAGGTATTTACCCGATCTAGGACAGGTTCTATCATGTAATTTTGCTAGTCCCATCAGCTATATTCTGTAGAGCTTCCATACTGGGTAGGGAAGCTTCTCAGTCAAAAATGGAAACAAATAATGAGAAGCATGTTGCAAGCATTTCGTGCAAAAGGAATCTGACAAGATGATATTTCTGATTCAGACAATCTTGGTAGGATGTGTTGGTAAGGATCATTTTTTCTTGATAGCAAGAATAACTGGCAGACACAGACCTTACCTACAATGAGCAATCATTTTTAAAATCTTCCTAAGCTTTAGATTATGACATGATCTCAACACTAACCAACTGTGATGTAACAAAAACATTTTAGTGTGTTATATAACCTCAGAACTAGTCCATTGCATTTTCTGCATCACCTAAGCTGCACATAATCTCCTTCAACATACTCTAAACTTCAGGTGATATTTGCATCCTCATAATTAGTTTCTAAGAGGAATTAACTTTTCAATTTTGAAAGAGAGAGCAGATTTATTTATGTGAAGTGGAAGCAATGCTCAACATTCTCCGGAACGTTAAAAGTGAAAATAACGATGTGGTTCCCTGCATAGTTTGGAAGGATAAATTGGTTTTCTTTGTTGTTTTATCGAATGGATTGCCTTCACGAGGAGCCGATGGGTGAACACACAACACAAAATCCGTGGGCAAATCTTCTCATAGTTGAGGAGAATGATGCATTCCACTTGACGTGACTCTGAATTTGGCCTTCAATTGCTCAGAGTCATTCCTTTTTACAACTACACTCAGTGACAAAGTGGAGTAGGCATGCAGAAAGCATACTGATAGGCCTCCTATACAATTTACCTATTCTAGAAGGACCCAGAAGGAGGAGGGAATATCTAACTGGGAAGTAACAGAATCTGTTAGTGAAGGGATGATTGGACTTAGTTATTTAGAGGATATCTATAAATAGAAGTAGAGGGAACTGGAAAAGTAGGCAGAAATTGGGTAGTTCCTTTGGAGAGCAATGGACCTCTCAAATGTCCATTTATCATTTTCATTCCTGTCATTTACAATTCAGTAGATTACAATAGTGTTAGGGTGTTATTCTGTCATTTGCATTCTATATAGAAACATTCAATTACAGACATCAATTCAACTGTTGCTGAGTTTATCTTCTATTTTCATCTTATTTCCTTCCTTGGTATCCTTGATTCTGTGTGTTGGCTGGAATTATCAACAGGTTCCTATCACATGCTTCGATTGAATTTTGGGGTTAGTTCTTTGACTTAAGCGATAGCATATCGCCGTAGTGGTCAATCAAGCACTATATGGCTTGAGTAAAACAAATGGAAGCCCTAGAATGGCTATGTAATAGCCAATCTAATGCAACGTGAAGCGAAAAGATTCAATGCATTTCAAGAATCCGTTGATTCTGTATAAATACCTATATGTTTGGGTGTCAGATTTGTTGATTCTTCATAAAGAATACCAAAAATCCGATAGGAATATGAGAAAACTTTCAATTTTTTTTTTTTTATAACCGTAGATGTCCGGGCCAACTTGCTCGCACCTCGACTAATCCCACGGGGCCCTGAAGTTGAGGGGCAAGTACTCACCTCAATGGCCCTGAAGGGACACGAACTGGTGACCACTGGGAAGTAAACTCTTGCTTGCACGCACCTCGACTAATTCCACGGGGCCCTAAAGTTTTAGGCCGGGTACTCTCCTCGGTGGCCCTGAAGGGACTCGAACTGGTGACCACTGGGAAGTAAACTCAAGATCTGACCAATTGAACAACCTCTCAAGGTTAGAAAACTCTCAATTTTATTAATAATCAAAATCCAACCCAAATACCAATGTTGCGGCTAACTTGTAAACCTAATAAAAAATTGAACTCTTACTAAACCCTTGTTTGATCCTCATTTTCTCCAAATTACATTTTTCTCTTCTTTTCAACCACATATTCTTCAATAAAATAATTTACACGTAAATCCAAAACTTTTTCTTATTTTTTAACCATATTCTCTATCAATCTACTATTTCAAAATGTATTCTACACCAAAAAGGGGACTCAAACAGGCCCTAAATTATAAAATGGGCCCAAATTAATTATAACAACACAATTAAAGAAATAATTTTTTTTTTTTTAAATAAGTAATCAGAGAATTTATTTATAAATCAAGAGATAATATATGGAAGATGTATTATCAATTTAAACAATACAAGAACGACATGAAATTAAGCAACCCTTCTATATGGTTATTAGCCACAGTATTAAACCAACAGTACAAAGTCAGATAAAACAATTCTCTGAACTGCTCTGTAGTTCTTGTTTGGTCTTCAAAACAGCGACTATTCATTTCTCTCCACACGCACCATACAATGCATCTCAGAATAAGATCTCATACAATCCTACTATCTTTATCACGAAATTTCTTCCTCCATGCTAGTACCATATCTTCAATTCACCTAGGCATCACCCAATCCAAATGTTAAGAAACAAGAATGCTGTTCTAAAACCACCGAACACCATCGCAATGAATGAACAGATGGTCAATCGTTTTCCCATCTTTATTACACATGTAACATCACTCGGTAACACAAAAACCCCTTCTTCGAAGATTATCCACCATTAACGCTTGCCCCCGCACA